GTTGGTTAAGCGACTGCCTTCGGCTCAGGTCATGATCCTGGAGTCCCGGGATCGAGTCCCGCATCGGGCTCCCTGCTCGGCCGGGAGTCTGCTTCTCCCTCTGACCCTCCTCCCTCTCATGCTCTGTCTCTCATTCTCTCTGTCTCAAATAAATAAATAAAATCTTTAAAAAAAAAAAAAATAGCAGCACTGCTTGAGGGCTACAGTATTATAAAAAAGCCAAGAGAAGAAATGGACTTAAAGAAAACCCCTAAACTCCTTTACTCAGACAACCATCTATTCCCTGTCTGCTGCAAGTAAGTCCATCTTAAGAATGACTTCTATTATTAACAAATTCCTGCCTTGACACACTATACTGAGCTCCCCAGCCAGAGCAGAAATACTTCACTGACTTGGTGGATGGTGTCAGCTCAGTATGATAAGGCAGCCTCAACATAGGGCCACTCAGTCCAAGGGATGGCAGCCTGCCCCCTCACACTGCTGGGCACAGAGCTGAGCCACCACACTAAGATAACTATGCAGGTGGTTTCCATTTTCTCAACTTCTGGGGATGTTTAAAAATGTCCTTAGTAAAAAGAAAAAAAAATCTCATGAATTGCTGAAAACTCTGTAAGTAATTAAAAAAACACACCCACACACGTTAAAAATTGATAAAATTGTAAATTTAGCAAATTGATCATTCAGTAAAATGGTTTTCAGCCAACTGCTTTTTTCCCTCCAGAGAAGGCCTTCCCCGACCATCCAATTGAAAGCAGTTATCTCATCACTAATATATCAAACTGTTTAATTTTCTTCAAAGAACTTAACACTGACATTTTCTTGTGTAACCGTTTACTGTCTCTTACCTATGCTAGAATATAAGTTCCTTGAGAAAGAAACCTTTGCCTGTTTTGTTTACTGCTCTCTTCCCAGCAATTTGAACAGTGACTGAAAGAGAATAGGCACTTCATAAATATTTGTTGTTAAATAAAAGCAGCTCCAGGGATACACATGTAGACAAACAAGTGTGTAACAGTCAACACACGTAAAAATATGTCTTGGAATCTTCCATAATTCTTAATTTTTAAATAAATGTCACACATTTTCATAACACATTAATTTGGTTAAAGTCATTTTGAAATACTAGATGACTCTTATTCCTTCAATATAATAATTATTGAGTTCCAAGAACTGGGGAATGTCGCAGTGAACAAGACAGACAAGGGCTCTGCTTTCATGGAGCTTATATTCTAATGGAAGCTAAAACTTTGTTACTTAAATAAGGCTCAAGAGGCACATGTACCAAGCAACTTTTAATTTCTAAATGACACTTACATATTTAGAACAGTACTTCTCCACATATGGGTTGCAACCTGGTGGCTGGGGACAAATGTATAGAGTCTTGTCTGGAGGACGTGAAGCCCTAAACCTTACCCAGTGGTATCCGGTGTTGCCTCACAAAGTCTACCAGATCCAGGGATCCTCCCTCAGAGGAGTTGAGAAATGTCCCATGCCCAATTCTGTCAGGAAGCAGATCCAGAAGTACTTGTGTTTCTTTTTTTTGGTTTGCAATCTCAAAAAAAAAAGGGTGGGGGGAGAGGGCATCAATAACCTCTTTCAGTGGTTCTTAAAGGTACCTTTTTCTGTAGCCAGCTACGTTGTCCCTCAGAGAAGATAATGCAGACATTCTGGAAAGCTGAACCACCTATACCTTCCCAGCTCTCTTCTTTGCCTTTATTTTCCCATTCATTTCCCAATATTCTTCTAGATTCGTTCCAATGATAATACTAATTATAGTTAACAAGAGTAATAATAATAAACACTTTTAGACCTGCTTTGTGCCTATTCACATAAATTCTCCTTTAAACCTCACAAGAATCTTACAAAGTACTAAGATGAAGAAATTAAAGTTCAGAAAAAGTAACAGGATCAACTCGGGAGCAGAACTGAAACGAGAAAGGGACCTTTCATTTTTTATTTTTTTCCTTCTACATTACACTTCTCTACACTTGGAATTTCTTCAGCTATACCTAACTTTTGTAGTTAAAATACAAAGTATTTTTTTTTTTAAAGTTGTCTAAGGTCATAGAGCTCTATCTGACTTCAGGGCCCAGATTCTCTGTGCAGTGTGCTCCTGTTTTATTATTTTTTAAAGGATTTTATTTATTTATTTGAGAGAGAGGGAGAGAGAGAATGAGTGCAAGTGGGAGGGAGGGACAGAGGGAGAAGGCGAGAAAGTCAAGCAGACTCCATGCAGAACCCACACGGGGCTCGATCTCACAACCCTGAGATCATGACCTGAGTGGAAATCAAGAGTTGGACATTTAACTGACTGAGCCACCCAGGTGCCCCATTCATGTTTTGACACAGCCAGCTACATACATACCACAACTACCATGAAAAGGTCTAGCTGTACTCTTTATCTACTAGATAGCCTACAAGACAAATGACCATAACATGCTGAAATGAAATGTTTTATGTCCAATGCATCAAACAAAAAAAGCAACAGAATAAAGAAAATTAAAAAAAAATTTTAAAGAAACAAATAGACAAAAGAAAAGAAAAAAAGAAAAAGAAAAGCAACAGAGACTAAGGTAAAGAGACGGTTCTAATGCTGTGCACAAAGACCACAGATAACTGGTCACAGTAACACATGCTGGCTGTTCCATTTAATTGACCAATAGCTTTAATCAGACATCAGTTAGGTTAGCAAGAGGATGTCCTACGAGTGAAAGATCTTTTTGATCAGAGTGTGGAAACACAGATCCTAGATTTTAAGTTCTGCCACCAGATTACTGACTCTTTGCTTATAGACATGAAAAACATCAGCACTGACAAGAAGCTCCAATTTTTTCCTTAATCTTTAAATCATGATGCTATTCAACCTTTATACATTACTGCATCTAATATTCATAAATAACCATGTGAGGTAAGTAGCCTAAGTATTATTTCCTGCACTTGAGACAATAAACTCCAGACTTCTCGAGCTGTGTACATTAATCACGTGCAGCTTTTTGTATGTCAAAAAAAAGAAAACAAATAGAAGTACTGACATAGAAAGTAAATCCATCTGTAAAATGGGGGAAAGTGTAGTTGACTCCCTTGTTTGCCTCACAGGGATGTGTTTAAGAAAGTGACTATTCTCCAGCCATTATCTGTACATTATCTGTCATTGTGCTCATGTTGCCAAGGAGCTGGGGCCCAACGAGGGGTACCCGATCTTCTGATGAGCCTCATAAAATAATGATGAGCTACTTCCTTTCTCGCCAGTGCATGTGATATTCAGGTCCCTTACCCTATGAGGACAAGTGAGATGAACCGGTGCTTTTCTCAGTGTCAGCTTCCAATGACAAGACTGATGATGAAAACTTAGGCATTTTCTCTAGTAAGATGTCAATAGCTGTTTTAACAACACAGCGGTAGTGTGAGTCAACAGCCACCCTCAGGAATGACAAAAACATAAAACCAGTAACAAGGGACTAAAGCAAATCATACCTTTATCATTATAATTTACATTTAAAAACATTTCTACATTCCTCCTCTTCTACTTTTTTTTTACCTCCAGGTTTACTTTTAGCCATTTACAAATGATTATTATTTTCACTGTAATTTATCTTCTCCACCCTAATTTTACATTATTATTTACCTCTGAAAGATGCAATGCCAACTTCAGGCCTGCTTTTTTAGCTTCTAAAAGAGGTTCCAGGAAGTCTTTTGCCTGTCCTACCTTGATAAAAGTTAAAACGAAGATGAATTAGATTTCTAGGCAAACTGAAGAATTAGGTACTTTGTGTCAATAAACAAAGGAATAAAATAATGGCAAGGAAAAAAATGGCAGATTGACTCATTTGAAAATTTCATTTATAAAGCACCTACAATGTGCTAGACACTTGAGGGAATATAAAGCTGGCAAAGACCCAATCCCTGCCCTCAAGAATGTTAAGTCACATATGAGTGAACCTGATGTCAATCAGCCATGCTAGATATAGAGGTCACCAAATTTTAGTTCTGTAAGGAAATCTAGGTATCTAGTGCTAAGGAGAAGTCACCTGATTCAGGAACCTGTATGATTACAGTAAAGAAAGCTTCTACCAAATGGATGAATGAAATAAGAACACAATAGTCCAGGTTTAAACAAAGCCATAAGAACCAGTTTCCTGGGACTCTCCAAATCCAGTGGTTTTCAACCAGGGCCAATTCTGCACTACCATGCCCCCCCCCCACCTCCTCCCACGCTGGGGACACTTGCCAGTATCTGGAAACATTTTTGGTTGTCACAACTAGGAGGGTGCTACTGGTATCTAGTGGGTAGAGATGACAGGGATGCTACTAAACATCCTGCAATACACAGGGCATCCTCCCAGGACAAAGAATTCTTTGGCCCAAATGTCAATAGTGACACGAGTGAGACACTGTGCTTGAATCTGACATTCAAGAAGCTCTAGGCCAGTCTTTCTCATTGGGGGTTCTATGAGATAATTAAGGCCTACCCATACTTAAGTATTAATTAATTATTAGACATGCATTGTATGTAATGAATTAATTTCTCTCCTCTCATTCAAATCTTATTCTTTTTTCTTTTTTAGAGGGCTTAATTCTTTCTCAGAACCCTGGTTGAGAATAGCTGCTATAGACATTCTGGTCATCCAGGGCAGAATAGGTCTTTTTTTTTTTTTAAAGATTTTATTTGAGAGAACGAGCAGGGGGGAGAGGGAGAAGCAGACTCCCCGCTGAGCAGGGAGCCCCATGTTGGGCTGGGATCATGACCTGAGCTGAAGGCAGATGCTTAACTGACTGAGCCACCCAGGTGCCACTTCCTTCCCTTTTTTTTTTAAAGATTTTATTTAAGAATAGGTTTTCATCCACACAGAGTGTCTGGTAGACCTCTGGAGAATGCAGGATGCCCCAAGCTAATCCTTACCCTACAAATTGATTCTACTTTTCTTTTTTTTTTTTTTTAAGATTTTATTTATTTATTTGCGAGAGAGACAATGAGAGACAGAGAGCATGAGAGGGAGGAGGGTCAGAGGGAGAAGCAGACTCCCTGCCAAGCAGGGAGCCCGATGCAGGACTCGATCCAGGGACTCCAGGATCATGACCTGAGCCGAAGGCAGTCGCTTAACCAACTGAGCCACCCAGGTGCCCCGATTCTACTTTTCAGAAATAAAATGTATTTAGGAAAAACAGCTTACAGTAGGGTCTCCACTGAGGTCAAGGCCGATAACTGTATTGTCAGTAGAGAGGAAGAACTCTTCAGCAAGTTTAACGGTCTCCTTGGCTACTGAAGGGCCACCTCTTCTGTCGATTGCTATCAAATACCTTTAATATAAAAAAAACACAGTTGAAAACAAATACAGTGCAGATGAAAAAGACAACTCTGAGTATGGTCAGAGAGGTATAGCAGGCTACATGTAAAATTTACTTAGTAGAAGTACAGCCTGACTGACAGGACAGCTTACTTTGCCAGAGGGCATGAGACCATAAATTCCTAAACAGCACCAAACATCTAGTGTTCAAATTCTTAAACGTTTCATGTTTTTTTTATTCTTGCACTTGTTTTTTAGTTTGTTTGATTCAGAATTCAACTAAAGTCCACGCACTGTGTTGGTCAATGCATCCCAAGTCTCTTTTAATCCAGAGGCGCTCCCTCCATGCCCCACCTTCCCCCTTCTCCATAAACCCCCACCACTTTTCTTGAATTTATTTCTTGAACTTAAAGAAACCACGTCCTTTGTTCTATAAAATTTCCTATAATGTGCATTTTGCTGAGTGCATTCCTGTGTCCTTAACCTGTTTCTCCTGTCTCTTATATCTCCAATAAATTGAAAATTGGAACTAGTCTGGAGGCTTGATCAAATTCAATTTTTTAGCAAGAGTATTTCATAAGTGATGGTGTGTTCTTTCATCAGGAGGCTTAGATCCATTATTTCATTAAGTGTTAAAAAACTGGTAATATTCTAATTCTAACACATATCCAATAGCTGATACAAATTCATTCTTCATGTTAGCTGGAATTCTACAAGGCATCTAATACCCAGAGAACCCCTGTTAATATTGCATAATTTTCCTCCAGCATTTTTTAATTTATCTATTTTTTTACATTCCTCCAGCACTTATTTATTTACAAAATTTGGATCAACTATATATAAATGCACTTTTTTTTTTAACTTAATGATTTCTCCTGTCATTAAATAATGTTAGAAAACAATGTAAATCATATGAACATAACATAATGTAACTGTCCTCTGCTAAATGTTTTAGGATGTTTTCCACTTTTTGTTATAAATAACACTATAGGTACGCCTGGGTGGCTCAGTCAGTTAAGCATATGCCTTGGGTCGGGTCATGATCCGGGGTCCTGGGATTGGCCCAGAGTTGAGCTCCCTGCTCAGTCCTTCCTCTTTACTGATGCTCTCTCTCTCAATTCTCACTCTTTCTCAAATAAATAAAATCTTTAAAATAAACATAAATAAATAACACTACAATAAAGAATCTTACACAAAAATCAATTTATTTCCTTAGGATACGTTTCTAGAAGTGGAGTACTGCGTCAGAAGGAAACATTTTTGTACATCTTAATACATACTGCTTTTTAAAGAAGTTTTATTTATTACATATGCTTACTAGCAGTGTGTAAGTTCACAAACTGGTTATTACCTTGTTTTGAGGGGAGCTATTGAAATGGCATTGTAATATTTTAAATTTATCTGATTGGGGTGCCTGGGTGGCTCAGTCGGTTGAGCGTCCAACTCTTGATTTCAGCTCAGGTCATGATCTCAAGGTTGTGAGACTGAGCCCCATGTCAGGCTCCACGCTCAGTGGGGTGTCTGCTTGAGATTCTCTCTCTCCCTCTGATCCTCCCCCACCCTCTGCACACTTTCTCTCTCTCAAATAATTTTAAAAAATTATCTGATTAGTGAGATTAAATAGTTCCCTATACACTTATTGGTCATTTGTAGGTCTTCATTTCTTAATTCTCTTCTTGTCTTTTGCCTGCTTCTTTTTGGGAGGGGTGTGTGTATTAGTCTAGCTAAGCTTAATTTGGAGAGATTTTATAGCCAGAAACTATATAGGTAGCTTTCTTCCTTCAAGGACTTATTGAGCCCTGATTATGTGTCGCCTCTGTTCTAAGTACTGGAAGGGTAGTGGCAAAAGACAAGGTTCCTGGCCTCATGAATTTACACTCTAGTGGGTATGTATGTACAAATAAAACAAGATAATTTTTTTTTTAAGATTTTATTTATTTGATAGAGAGAGACACAGTGAGAGAGGGAACACAAGCAGGGGGAATGGGAGAGGGAGCAGGCTTCATGCCGAGCAGGGAGCCTGATGTGGGACTCTATCCCAGGACCCCGGGACCATGACCTGAGCCAAAGGCAGATGCTAAACGACTGAGCTACCCAGGCACCCAAACAAGATAATTTCTGATCTTGTTAAGAAGAGTGCAATAAAGGAAATAAAAAGGATTACTAGAGGATTTGGGGGGGCACTTTAGATAAGGTGGTCAAGGAAGGCCCTCTGAGGAAGTGACAGCCAAAATGAGAACTCAATAATGAAAAGCCAACCATGCAAGGATATGGCGGGAAGCGTGTTCTAGGCAAAAGCAACAGGAAGTACATAGATACTGAGGTGGGACAGTCTTGGCCTATTTGAGGAACAGAGAGCAAACCAGTGTGTAACAATGACAAGTGTTGAAGAGAGGCAACCAGATCACATGGGACCCTGCAGGCCACAATAAGAAGTCTGGATTTTGGCTGAAGAGCAATGGGAAGCCATACTTCTCTAGAGCAACAGTACTCAGAATTTTATTGCCACATGAACAAATTCAGAACTGCATTCTCAACTTTTAAGCAATAGATTTCTTGACTCCATTTTTCTAAGATAAAAATCAGTTATTGTTTGATTTATAAAAATCTATTACACTCATGATCAAAATAATAACATATTCACATTCTAGTTTTTTTTTTAAATGGTGACCACTAAGGTACAATGCTTCTTACCTAACATCAATGTCTATGTTTTCTTGTTTGGACTGTTTTATGCCCTCAAGTACAGATTCCACATAAGCCTTTTTAGTCATTCCTGGAAAGGACATAAAGAAAATATTTGTCAAGACATCATCAACTATTTCATCCTTTAACATTAGCATCCCTCTATGAACAATTACATTTTTACTTTATGCTGTGACAAGGGCATGATTAAAGAGGAGTTAAAACATAGCCCTATGGGTACATTTTCATAAATGCTAACTGTACTTTAATAAATTTTTAAAAATAAAGTACGAGAAAGCAGAAATGGAAAAAAAGACATACAAAATATAAGCCCATTTAAAAAGTATTCTTAGATCCAACAGACATAAAACTACTCTCACAGGGCGCCTGGCTGGCTCAGCTGGTAGAGCATGCAACTCTTGATCTCAGGGTCATGATTTCAAGCCCTGTGTTCAGTGGGGAGCCTAGTTAAAAACAAAACAAAACAAAACAAAAAAAACAACTATTCTCACAAATTGCTATAAAAATCTAAAATGCCTGTTCTAACAAAACAAGAACAGCCTTTTCTAAGGCCTATCCTTAAAAAAAAAAAACCAGAAACAAAAACAAACCATTTTTCTCTATTAGCAGAATGTTTTCCTGCTGGTCCAGAAAAAAAAAATCCCCTCTTGGGTTCCTGCCTCTTCAATCCTGGCCAGGCTCAGTGTTTCCTGTCCAGGGTACTAGAGCAGTTCTTCCAATTTTGGGTGTACAAGTCGTCTTCTGGGGGCTCTGAGAGCACTCTCCAGAACAACCCCCTCTAAAATACTGCTTTCATAAAATGAAAGCAGTACCCAATCATAAAATGCTTTCTTTTGGCAGAAAATCTCAAGTAACACAGAAAATTATAAAGGAAAAAATGAGTAACCTATAATCCCACCACTCAGAGATAACCACTCTTTGTTTTTCTAAGTATAAATGTTTTTTGAATAGATGAGAGGCTACTATGTATATATGTATCCTGTTCAGTTGTTTAATACAGTCCTGTATTCTGAGTGTTAAACCCAAGTCTTTATAGTATCTTCGCAAATATTTTTAATGGTTGCCTCACATTCCAGTAACCCTTATTTAACCATTCCCCTCTTGTTGCATATCAGGTTAGCATCCTTCTTGGAATCTCCATTCAAAGAGCGAACTAGTTCTAGTAAGTGGCAGGTTTCTTCTCTCCTTCCCTTTCACTATCCTCACCAGCATAATCTGGAACTGATCCTACAATTTAAAAATGCGAGATAAGAATCTTCTGCTTGTCCAACACTTACTTTATGTAGTTTTAAAAAATTTATCCCCTGAATAACTGGACTGCACATGTCAGGGTCAAGATGAACTGGCAGAGCCTTTTCAGGTCACAGACAAGGGACTAAGAGGGACCCAAGGACACTGCATAACATCTTTCCACACTGCCCTTATGAAAAGAGGGTTCCAGGAAATTTCTCCAGACCACATCCAGATCCACTCATCTCCATCCAGAGAGGTTTTACCACCTCACCCCTTGCTCCTGGCTTAAGACACTATCAGTCTCTAAGAAGGGACTGAAAAACCTTCATCTCTGTGATTGTCATAAAACATGATTCAGCATCTACTCAGTGGCACTGTCTCACAAGTGCCCTCAATGCAAGGAGCAAGAAGTAGCCTCTGTTTAAGACAATGTAACTATAAGGAGCAAACATTCTTTCCTCAGAGTGAGAAAAAAACAAGAACAAGCAAAATTTTTGTAGGCCTTTTAATTTCCCTTAAACAGATAATCCTTGACCTGATTTTTTAACTTAACAACTCACTCATTAATAATGTACATCACTGGGGTGCCTGGGTGGCTCAGTCATTAAGCGTCTGCCTTCGGCTCAGGTCATGATCCCAGGGTCCTGGGATCGAGCCCCGCACTGGGCTCCCTGCTCTGCGGGAGGCCTGCTTCTCCCTCTCCCACTCCCCCTGCTTGTGTTCCCTCTCTCGCTGTGTCTCTCTCTGTCAAATGAATAAATAAAATCTTAAAAAAAAAATAATGTACATCATTAATGTACATCAGAAGATTTGGACTGTTGACTCTACAACAGTGTTAAAGCAAGTGCTTCATATTCTCAACTTATAAACACATGAATCATCAAAGCACAGAGGAAAAAAGTATATTTGCTGAGAAGTAATTAAACTCTACCTGTAGCATTTTCTCTTCTAGGTGTGCTCCTTAGTTCCAGGTACTTGACACCATCATCTGCAAATTCTTTAATGACATCTTTTGTGACCTGATAGTTAAGGCAATGGACACAATATTGATAATGTTAGTGTAAGGGTCCCAATGAAAATGCCCAATGCTACAGCTTTATTTCACAAATTAAATTTGATTTGCAAAAAATGTTCCAAGTCTCTCATGTGGTTAAGATGACCTGCTTTGTCATACCCCTGCTGGAGACTGTGATGAGACTGTAACACTTCCAAGAGTTCCCATTACAACCCTCATTCTCACATTAAATCCAAATCTGCACATCAAACACACTTTTTGTTTCTCTTCTCTCCCTTTAGCCATTTCTCCATTTCCTAGTGTTCATAACAGTAGCTGATAAAACAGAAAATGAGGCAGAACTAAAACTACTTATGAGTGTGTAGTACTAGGAAGGTACATATGGAAATAAGTGGCTAAAACAATTAGGCATTACTGATGTACCGTTCAAAGTCATGGCTTACGGTTCTTATTCAAGTTATTTACGAATAAGTTGTATTTTGCAAAAGTTTCTTCAGGCAGGGTGAAATTTTCTCCAGGAGTACTAAGAAAAATCTCTCTTTGACAAAGAAAATGGATGATAAATACGAGTAAAATGGTATCCAATTTAGCACAGATTTCAACAACCCAAAAATGACTAAATGACCAGGGTAAATGATATCAAAAGGATGAAGGCATTATTTTCCTTCTCTGCGATCAATCCTAAAAAAATACTAAATCTAGAAGAAAAAAGGACCAGGTTGGAAATGCTGTGACAACCAGCCCTAGCTAGTCTTTGTAGTTGGTATCCTAAACTTAACCAGTTTTGACTATATGCACATGATCAGGCTAGTGCAGTGTCCTGGCAAAGGAACAAGGGCTGGCGGATTGTGTAGACAGTGCCTAACAAGGCGGCACTACTTTAGTGGACTCACTGTAATCCAAGGTCTGGGCTTCATCTGGTTGTGTGTGTGTGTGTGTGTGTGCGCGTGTGTGTGCCTGCCTATGCCACGCTCGCTTAACTAAAGCCACAAAGGAATTTATTAGAATCTTAGAATATAAATATACTAAGCTCAGATGCACCAGGAGATCTGCAGAATCAGCCTCAGACACTACACAGCTCAGGACAACACAAAAGCGTTCAGAATCATGGGACACTCTTGGACCCAGCAAGACAGCACTGCTTCCTACACCACTGAGCATGACCCTGCAGCTTCTGTACCATCACCATAGGCACTGGACCCCATGGCACTGGTGCCCCCCAAACTCCCATTTTGCTGCCCATGCTACCACCAGAGTGTGGGCCTCATCTGTGCAGGCTGAGGAACTGCATCTTGTCATCGGCTCCAGACCAGACACATAGAAGCCAACTCCCTCCACCCCAGCTCACATGTGGCCAATGCAGAAGCCTATCTGTTATGCAGCATTGACAGGGAGGGTGAAGTTCGGGCATGAACTGGCAGTCCTCCGTGACTGAGGAGACCAGAGCTCCTATCCAAGGCACCCTCTTTCTTGGTTTCTTGAGCTGCCAGTGAAACCAAATAGAACAACAGAAGGCTGTTGGCAAGTATGGAATGAGAGCAATGGGACGATTTATCTAGGCCATGGTGAGGCCTGTGGAATCATCCCTACCCATGTCCAATAATACTTCCTTGGGGTCCACATCTGTGTCTGCCAGATTCAGCCCTTTCTGCTCCATGCAGCAACTGGTACTGAGGCAAACTCTTACTTGAGTTCCTTCTTCAGATAGAGTATATCACAATTAGTTAAGTTTCTGCTTACTCAAAGGACGATAAGACTACATCTCCTGAATGAGAAAGAACATGGGCTCTGGAACCAGACAAAGATAGTCAATTCTGCCACTTACTCTCTCTGTGAGTGACCTTGAACAAGTTACATGTAATCAATTTAAGGCTCAGGGGTTTTTTTGATCTGCAAAAAGGGAACAATAAAGATACCCACCTCAGAGAGTAGTCTTGAATGTAGTGTCTGGGACATGTAATAGTTAGTATTACTTCAAGCATATTCCAATCCTTTCTCTTTGAGATTACATCCAGATCATCTTGACCAGACTGTTAAATGATCCATAAACTCTTGGTCCCACATTTATGAACAAAGAATTTCTTGGCTTACTCCCACACAGGGTTCATTTATTATATGTAAATGTTACTAACTTTACTCTCAGTGTCATCCTTCTGAACCACCTAAAGTTGCTCATTCTAGTACCACTAAGTCAAATCACAAAATCTTATTCCTTACCTCATTTTATATTTTTTAAAGATTTATTTATATGAGAGAGCGCATGCAAGCAAGAGTTGGGGGAGGGGCGGAGGAAGTGAATCCCCAAGCGGACTTCCCCACTGAGCCTAAGGCAGGGCTCCATCTCATGACCCTGAAATATTGACCTGAGCCAAGCACCCAAGCAGGGGCCCTTCCTTACCTCATTTTATTTTATTTTATTTTTAAAATTTTATTTATTTGAGAGAGAGCAAGAGAGAGAGAGAAAGCACAAGCAGGCGGAGGGGCAGAAGGAGAGGGAGAAGCAGGGAGCCTGATGCAGAACTTGATCACAGGACCCTGGGATCATGACCTGAGCCAACGGCAGATGCTTAACTGACTGAGCCACCCAGGTGCCCCCTTACTTCATTTTAATAAAGCTTTTTACCAACTTTGAAAGGAATAAAATAATGAGCATGGCATTATTGTAGCCCTAGATAAGCTGTCAGAATCCAAGATTTCATCAGTTTTGCTCGGTGACAATCAACAACAGAAAGTGAGACATTCCTAGCAGCATTCAATGGTATCTGTTGAGTAGCTAATTAGACAAGCCTCCTTTAGGTTCCTATAAGTCCCTGTACGTATCTCTAACACACAGCTTACCTCATTATGTTGGATTTTTTTTTCCTATTTATTTTTTTTTTTGATGTAGTGTTCCATGATTCATTGTTTGTGTATAACACCCAGTGCTCCATTCAATACGTGCCCTCTTTAATACCCATCACCAGGCTGATCCATCCCCCCACCCCCTCCCCTCTAAAAGGGGGTGTTTCTCAGAGTCCATAGTCTCTCATGGTTCTTCTCCCCCTCCGATTTCCCCCCTTCATTTTTCCCTTTCTACTATCTTTTTTTTTTTTTTTTT